GCAGGGCTACCTCGCGCTCTCATCCGAGCAGGAGGTCGTGAGCGAAACCCTCAGGTCAACTAAGGACCACCTTCAGGAACACCCGTCCGTGTACAAGGAGTTTCGCCGCTGCCTCGTCAAGCGCTTCGGTGAGTCGATCGAGGATGGCTTCGACGGCGGGTATCCTGAGGCTGATGGTGACATGCACGGAAGGATGCCAAGGACCCGAAAAATGCAACGGCACCTCCTCCGTCGAGGAAGACATGCTGGCCTGAGGCGTTCCGATACCCTGCTGTGCGTGAGCCTGTGAGGCAACTCAACGAGATAGGGAATTCTGGTGTACATATTCCACATATCTTCTGTGTGCCTCGCCGCTGCCTGCCTCCGCCGCCTCTCTGGCTCCAAAGCGTGACCTAAGCGGTGCGCAAGGTTGTATCGAGAAATAGCGCATACATCTACGGGAGGGGTTCGGCCGGGGCAACGACCGTTACACGCAAGAGGATGAAGCACCATTCTGTCCATGGCTCCTCCCCTCATCCAGACGGCGGCAGGGAGAGGTCCAACTCGTGCCGAGGCCGATCGGAGATCTCTGATGGCCAGCGGGTCTGGAGGGCACATCGGGCGTTGGCGCGACCAGTCCCCGGGGGGACAGCATGGCCCCCTCCTGCAAAGCACCCTCTGCGGTGAACGGCCTTGGGTGACGAGCCTATGGATCAGCGACCCAGTGCCTGCCAGCCGGTGGAACTCCCATCGTGGAGTGGCCGTTGATACAGTCGAGGCGTTGACCTGAGGAACCCTAAATAAGGAACGAGGCCCCTGTTTTCCATAAGTTGAACTTCGATTTCGCATCGAAAACCAAAGGAACATCCAAGGCAAGCTGCGAAACAATTGAGGAACACGGAGCCCCTCCCCAATGAAAAGGGTTCCTTCTTCAGGGCCCCGACTGTACCACTGCCGCCCTCATCAGACAAGGAAGCCTCCAGGGTCTGAGGCCGCCCGGGCACACTCCTTCACGAACGCCCCCACCGCAGTGAAGAAGGGGACCCAGGGCCAGATCGGGAGAGGGCGGGGGCCCGCACACAGGGCGGCCGCGGGGCCCTCTCGAGAGCCAGAAAAGGGCAGGCAACCAATCGAATTGCGCGGGGCGGGAGTTCTCCGTCGACCTCCGACACACGGGGGCGGCACGAGGGAGGGCGGCCATCCGGGCGAGAAGCTTCGTGGAAGGCAAGGCCCCCCTCTGAAGGCTGCCCCCCAGGGGCGCACCGCCAATCCGCCAATCAGTTTTGCGGGGTGGGAGTCCTGTCGACCTCCGAGGGGTCGGCACGGGGGGGGGGGGGGGGGGGCGGCCTTCCTGGCGAGAGGCTTCGCAGCAGGTAAAGGTCCTTTCCGAAGGCCCCCCGCGCCCCCCCCTCCTCAGGAAGGCCAGCCCCCTCTGCGCCACCCAGGGGCGCGCCTCCAGACCCCCCCCCCTCGTCAAGACGGCGGCAGGGAGTGCTCAGATCTGGGCCGAGTCGGCGGACCTGGATGGGACGAAGATGGACATACTGGTACCATGTCTCCTCATGGAGACGCGCGTCCGACCCGAACCTATAGTACACAAATCTTGGAGCATATCGTTTCCCGAGCGGTGCGGCCAGAAAACGCCCACCACGACGCATATGCCATAAGATTTTCGTTGTGCGCGTTGCCCCTGGGGGGGCGGCGCACACATCGTATTAGTATGTTGGGGTGACGCCGACCGGAGAACGCATCGTGTGCCGCGGCCGCTCTAGGGGCGCTCCCGGGCTTTCCGAGGGCGTCCTGGAAAGCGATGGAGCGATGAAAACAGTTTTCTGGGGCCTGTCCGACCGTGCCAGGCACCTCGAGGACCTCGGATTGTGGCGACGCGAGAAGTGGTGCTTGCCAGCATTTTGCTCCATCTGGGCCTCCGAGGCGCGCCGTCTCCCAGAGCGGGGATCGCCACGAGACGACTCGGGAGAAAGGGCGCATCCATGGGAATGGGTCCAGGGCCCTGGGCGCTCTCGTCGCGAAGATCACCGCTACCCATCCCCCCCCACTTTCATTGCACCCCAATCTCCAGCGATGTGTCGAGGTGCCGTTTGTTCTCGACGCGCCTCAGTAGACGAAACCGATACCACGGCAAACCCACGGCAAGCCCTGCGCCCGAGGCGGCGCTTGCCCTGGTGGCCCAAGCGCCCTCCCCTAAGACGGAAGGCCGCGCGTCGGAATAAACGGCGCGGCGACGTGTTCTGTTTTCGATCCGCAGCCAGACACGCACGGCGCCCACGAGGACAGCTGCCCGCAAGGCGCGGGCGGAGCAGCGCAGGGAGACGGGCTGCCGAAGAGCCGAGGCCGAGGGGAGGAGTCAGACGACGCGTCCCAGATTGGGGTCGGAGCAGGTGGGGTCGGAGGATCGCGCCGCACCGTCGATGGCGATGCATCGGCTATGCACGCTGGCGCGGAGAAAATCGGGCTCCACGTCGAGCCGAATCGCCGATGCATCGGCGATGCGGCGCGAGCCTCCGACACCAGCTGCTCGGACCCTATGTGGGGAGACTTGGAGAGCCAGGGCGCCCTGAAGGGGGACTGGCAGGCCAGGACCCTGGCGCGCCCGAGGGAACTGCAGCCGCGGGCTGAAGCACTCTGCATTCTTCGCTCTCGCCGGCCGGAGTCCTCACAGACCCGGGTCTTGCAGTGGCCTGGCACCTCGGTTCCGAGAGGGAGCGAGGGGCGGCGCCGCTGGGCGCCACGAGGAAAAATCTAGACGGACGCCACTTCAAGGTTTCAGACCAGCACAGACAACGGCATGAAGATAATTTCTGAGGCCCGCGCCCTCCCTGGCTCGCGGAGCGCGCCAGGGGCGGCGCCAGAGGCGCCGCCAGGGGGGCCCAGCTCAGATCCAAGAAAGTCGCGCGGAGTATCAACAGCTTATGTGTATGCCGCTCCTTTTGGTTCTTCGAGAGAGGGGGCGAAGAGCGAGGCCGCTGGGCGCCACGAACGGAGATCTAGACGGGCGCTACTCCAAGGTTTGGCGACCTGGGGCCGTGCTGCCTCGAGGCACGGCCCACCACCTGAGAGCCTGGCCCCCCTGTGCGAGGCGGGGGGGCGCCGAGCGAGCCCTGCTTAGACGAGCGCGTTCCACTTCTCGCAAAGTGACTACTCGCAAATGGCCTGGATCCCCCGCGGAGGATCTACGACAAATTACATCAAAGCAGACCTGTGTTTTTCGGACGTTTGCGAGTAGGCGCTTCGCGAGTAGTGGAACGCGCTCGGTGCTAGCAGGGCCTGCGTCGCGAGGAACAGCCGCCGGAGGTCTTCAGGGCCACCTATTCTCGGCGGCGAGCGAAGGGGATGAATCGAGAAAGAGCGGGCCTTCTCAAAAGGCTCGGAAGTCCCCTGGGCTTCTGAAACGTTGCATGACCTTTTCCCGAAGGCACAGGCAACTTCTCAGAAGGCGCGAGGGCTTGTGAGAAGTCCCCCCGCCTTCTGATGAGGCCTTCTCCTTCTCACTTCCCCTCTCGCTCGCCGCCGATAAACGGGGACATGTCGCCGCGCCGTTTGTTCTCGACGCGTCCAAATGGACGACGCCGACACCACGGCAAACCCACGCCAAGCCCTGCGTCCCGCGCCCCAAGGAGACGCAGCCGGCGCCGCAGCAAGCCCACGGCAAACCCGCCGCGCCCGAGGCGGCGTTTGCCCTGGTAGCCGCGGCGCCCTCCGCGAGACTTACGGCCGCGCGTCGGAACAAACGGCGCGGCGACACACTGGCGAGCCCGAGGACACTTCAGCCTTGGGTCGAGACATTCTCCTTCGCTCTCTCCAGCCGGAGCTATCGAAGCCCTGATGAGCATTGCCCTGGTCCAGATGGAGAAAACAAGCAAGTAGCAAAAATCAGAAGTTCCTGGAGGTCCGCGCGGATTCCTTGGATCGGCGCTGGAGCCCCCCCTGGCGCGCGGAGGCGGCGCCAGAGGCTCCGCAAGGGGGGCCCAGCGCCGACCCGAGAACTCCGCGCGGAGCGCCGAGAACTTATGTTTATGCTGTTGTTCCTTCCTCGACGGTCTCCAGGCCCTGAAGGGGGGAGGGGAGATGGACGCCGGGCGCCACGAGCAACTTTCAGTCAAGACGAGCGCCTCGTCGCAATCCCAAGATTTGCCGCCCCGGGGGGGGGCTGCTCTTCATCGGGACACGACGGCCCGCAAAGTGAGAACCTGGCCTCCCGGGCGGCGGCGGGGTGGGGCGCCCGGGGCCCTACCAGGAGGGCCCGCATCGTTAGGGAAAGGCGCCGCCGGAGGCCTGCGTGCTCGGGCCCCGGAAGGAGTCCCAGACATCCTCCGAGGTGGATTTTGGGAATCCGCTGCCCCAGAACTCCAGTGTCCTCCTCCTCCTCCTCCTCCTCCTCCTCCTCCTCCTCCTCCTCCTCCGTCTCCTCCTTCTCCTCCTTCTCGTCCTCCTCAACCAGTTGTCCTCCTCCTCCTTCTCCTCCTCCTCCTCCTCCTCCTCCTCCTCAGTCCCCGAGAACAGGTTCTCGTCCCATGTCCATGTCTGATGGCCCCCAGGCCCAATCACGGGCCCCAGAGGCTGGAATACGGGAGACAGATCTGGGGCTGCCGGCGTCCCGCTCCTCGGCCGTCCCCGAGAAGGCCCGGGGGCCAGGGAGAGTCCACCGAGGGTGGGGGGGGGGGCCGGGCAAGCTAATCCAGGAGACAAATCTGGGGCTGCCGGCGTCCCGCTCCTCGGCCGTCCCCCGAGAAGGCCCGGGGGCCAGGGAGAGTCCACCGAGGGTGGGGGGGGGAGGCGGGCAAGCTGGACGGCCTGGACTTGCGGCAGCTGCCTGAACCCAGAGACCCGAGCGAGAACATTCGAGCAGTCAGCTTTCTGTGCGGGGGCCCCCAGAAGACAAAAGGGTGATTGAGCGGGAGGCCAGCAGTCAGAGTGGCCTAGGAGGCCGAAGCGGAGACAAACGCATTGAAATTTCGAAGCAGGCGCCGGCGACGAGAGAGCACCGCGGGATCTGCCCACCCTCAGCCGTTCGCTTCCTCGGGCGGAGGCAAGCGACATGGGCACAGACTTTCGAAGCTCCCTGCTGCTTCCTTGGAGCGGCGCTGGGGGCCCAGCACCAGTCAAAGAAATACGCACGGGGCTACACAGGTTCACAATGGCACCTTCGAAGAACCTCGCGCTCTCACGCCACCCCTCGGGGGAGAAGAGAAGGACACGGAGAGTGAGAGTGAGGAGTCGCGAAGCGCGAGCCGTAAACCGCTAGCAACTTCGCGCTCTCGTGGCGGCTTTTGTTTTATGCTTGTGCAATTTGTTGTTCCTCGACTCCTCCAAGCCCGCTGCAGAGGCCACCGAGGTCATCGACGGGAACGCCGACGAGAGCCCCTCCTTCGGAGAGGCGACATTCCCGTCCTGCAGCTGCAGGAGCGCCTCTCACGGCAGATGGAAGGACCAGGGCAGATGCGACTGGGGGCAAGGCTACGTCGTCCTCGCTCTCGTCTCTAATCTCCGATACGCGGGCGCTGCATCTATCCACGCTGGACGGTTTCGCTCGCTTTCGGGCCCCAGGACCATCTTAGATCGATCAAGCTCGAAACAGACGCAGCAGGAAAGTAAAGTTCAGGGCTCCTGTCACGATTCTTCGCGATGTCGCATCTTTTGTCGCAGCGTCGGATCCTCAGGATTTGGCGCCAAGGAAACGGGGCGCCATTTGAGACAATCGGGCCCCCGACCCCTCCCGGGGGGCCACCCTGACCAGTTCTTCGAAGCAAATCCACACCGCGAGGGCGTGGGTTTGGATACGTTCGCCGCTCGCGAGGGACCTGGCGGCTTTGAGACAATCGGCCCCCCGACCCCTCCCGGGGGGCCACCCTGACCAGTTCTTCGAAGCAGATCCAGCCGCAGCGACGACAGGCCTCCCGGAGGCCCAACACATGACGACAGACGCTCGAGGGTCGCCACGGGCTCGACTGGCCCTCCTCCTCCTCCTCCTCCTCCTCCTCCTCTTCCTCCTCCTCCTCCTCCTCCTCCTCTTCCCCCTTCCCCTCGCGCCTCGGTCGAGGGGCAGGCTTGCGGAGGCCCTGGACTGGCCCGAGCGGCCCCGAGAGGCCGTCGGGAGCGCCGTGGAGGCTGCGACCTCGCGAGGGGCGAAGCGCGCGTGGACGGGCACGCTGCCGCCCCGTGCGGATGCGGTGGCTCCGAAGGCTGCCCTGCCGCGCTCGGGGGACGTGCCTCCCGCGAGCGCCAGGGGGCCAGGACGGCGCGAACCCAACTTTTCTGGGAATGTGATCCCGAGACTGCCTGACCGCCCCCGAGAGGACATCGAGGAGAGGCACTTCTATGAAGGTCGCCTCGGCTTCGCCTCGGATCCTGGGCTTTCTCCCTCGGGGCCTCTCGGCGCGGCCGTGATGCTTCGGCTGGGCCTGGTGCGCCCTGGGGCCCCGAAGCGCTCTGTGCTCGATCGCGCTCGTCTCACCTTCTCCTGCAGCTCTCATCCGCCCCCAGTCCGACTCGGCGCGTCGCTCCACGGGCTCGCGGCTTCTCCTCCTCCTCCTCCTCCTTTCCTCCTCCTCCTCCGTCCCAAACATCCAGCGTCGTGATGTTTTCACCGCGTGACTCCCCAGAAATCTGGACCCGCTCCCTGGGGCCGGTCTTTCATCCCGAGCTGTCTTTTGACTTGGCCACGCGAAAGGCCCCAAGGGGCAGAAAAACAGCCGAGAGCCTGCCGCCGTTTGATTTGTCTACGACGCGAGTATGTCAGGGGTGGCGGCTTTCGGTCGGCGGCATCTCCCCATATCCACAGGGATATCCATTCGCAGCCAGAAAACAACAGCGCTGTTGGGGTATCAGTTCTGAGCACACGGTTGTGCTGGACCTCGTGTAGAATTTCTCGACGCGGAGGGGTGATCGATAACACTCTGCATACACACAGAGCGGGAGTAACGCTCTCAATATTGACCCCCGGATGTTCTATCAAGACTGCAACAGCCCTGAGATCCGACGTCGCGAAAAAAGCATCTTGACAGATCACGGCCAGAGCCCTCATCTTTCTGCGTCATTTTCCAAGCCAAATCGATGTGTGATGGCCCCGGGCCCAGAACCCGGCGAACATGTCAGACGCGAAACAATCGCGACGCCAGGACCTCAAGGACTCGTGGGCGAAACACATATCCGCACCCGCGGCCTGTCGGGCAGGGCCCCTGGGCGGCGACCCACGGACATGGGCGTGTTTTCGCCGAGGGCCCGCGTGGAACCTACCCATGCGACCGCGCATCCGCGGGATCGCGCCGCGGAATCCACACCGCGAGGGCGTGGGTTTGGATACAATCGGGGCGTTGACGTAAGGAACCCTAAATCAGGAACGAGGCCCCTTTCCCATCAGTTACGGCTCGATTTCCCATGGAAGACCCAAGGGAAACCTACGGCAAGCTGTGAAACAATCAAGGAACACGGAGCCCCTCCCCAACGAAAAGGGCTCCTTCTTCAGCGGCCCGACTGTACGTTCGCCGCTCGTGACGGACCCGGCGGCTTTCGGCCGGCAGAGCCTCGTCCATCAGCTCCAGCGGCGCGCGCCCGGCAGAGCGCCGGGCCGCCGGCCCGGGCGCCGAGTCCGGGAGGGGCCCGGGGCCGCGGGAGGCGGCGGCGCCCTCGGGGAGCCGGGACACCGCCGCGGCGCAGGCCCGCTCCGCCTCCTCGGCCGTGGGCCTGGCCACGGGCTCCTTCGCAGGCGACGCCGAGGGGGGCCACCACATATCATATACACCCACGGCCAATCAGATCAGCATCGGGGAAAAAGGGTCTGGAGGGAAAGGGGTCCCGGACCCCCAGGGGCCTTCCCCCAGGAGGAGATCTTCATCCTGAGCCGTTTTCTGAGAGTCCCGGGGCCCACGGAGGGCCCCGAGAATCCGAAAACAGCGAAACAATGCAGCACCCGTTTCCCTCAGGACCCGCTCGCCCCATGGCGAATCATACGGTGAGGACGTTGGATTTAAGGAGTCCTTGGCGCAAGGTCATCATCCAGGGTCGCCGGTGGAACGCCAATCATGGCTTGGCCACGTAACATGTAGATGTCAATGCCGCCCTCAGCAGACAAGGAATCATCCAGGGGCTGAAGCCTCCTGGGCACATTCCTGAACGAACGCCCCCATTGTAAAAACAAATGAGATAAACAAGTGTGCAGCTGACCGGGGGCGCAGAGAAGAAACTGGCCGCTGAATGTCTCGACCGTTTCTGGCACAGGCCCAGCCTCCCGTGCGACCAGAGTCGCCCGAGGACCCTCGAGACATGGGACAAGAAATCCCGCGCACAAGAAATTGCCAACCCCTGACATGCCAAACCAGGTCGCGCCACAGGGAAGCGGCAGAGGCCAGAACGAAAAAACAATTATCTTCTTTACCGCCGTGGGTGTAGGGGGAATCGCCACTTACTAGAGGAGTGTCGTCTCCTGGAGAGAAAACCCCTATGACACTCCATAACCCCCACTGAGAACTGCTCCGTCATAGAGCCTCCTCGAACTTGGACCCTGGGACCTCGATCCTCAGGGGGAACTTGTGACCTCTTATTCGTGCCGGCATGAGCTGGTTTCGCCAGCGCTGGTTTCGCCCCACTGGTTTCGCCAACGGCTGCTTCGCCGGCGCTGGTTTCGCCGACGCGAGCCCTGACGGGCGGGTCGAGTCGGGCGGGCGGGCCCTAGCAGGCGGGTCGGGTCGGGTCGGGCGGGCGGACCCTGACGCGACGGGCGGGTCGGGCTGGGCGGGCGGGACATCAAAATGTGGGGCGCGCTCGATCGAGCACGCAAGAACCCTAACGGGCGGGTCGGGTCGGTCGGGCGGACCCTAGCTGGCGTGACAGGTTGGGTCGACCGGGCGGTCCCTAACGGGCGGGTCGGGTCGGGCGGGCGGGACATCAAAGCGTCAGGCGCGCTCGACCGAGCACGCGCGAACCCTAACGGGCGGCTCGGGTCGAGCGGGCGGACCCCAGCGGGCGGGTCGGGTCGGGTCGGGCGGGCGGACCCTAACAGGCGGACGGGCGGGACATGAAAATGTGGGGCACAATCGACCGAGCACGCGCGAACCTTAACGGGCGGGTCGGGTCGGGCGGGCGGACCCTGGCTGGCGGGACGCGTCGGGTCGACCGGGCGGTCCCTAACGGGCGGGTCAGGTCGGACTGGGCGGGCTTAAAATGTGGGGCACGCTCGATCGAGCACGGCGGGCGGACCCTAACAGGCGGGCCGGGTCGGGCGGGCGGGACATTAAAGTGTGGGGCACGCTCGAACGAGCACGCGCGGGTCGGGTCGGGTGGGCGGGCCTTAGCGAGCGAGTCGGGTCGCGTCGGGCGGGCGGACCCTGACGGGCGGGTTGGATCGGGCGGGCGGGACATTGAACTGTGGGGCGCGCTCGTCCGAGCACGCAAGAACCCTAACGGGCGGGTCGGGTCGGGCACGCGGACCCTAGCGGGCATGTCGGGTCGGGTCGGGCGGGTGGACCCAAACGGGCAGATCGGGTCGGGCGGGCGCGACATTAAAATGTGGGGCACGCTCGACCGAGCACGCGCGAACCCTAACGGGCGGGTCGGGTCGGGTCGGCGGACCCTGGCGGTCGGGTCGGGTCGGGTCGGGCGGGTGGACCCTAACGGGCGGGTCGGGTCGGGCGGGCGGGACATTGAACTGTGGGGCGCGCTCCACCGAGCACGCGTGAACCCTGACGGGCGGGTCGAGTCGGGCGGGCGAGACATTCAAGTGTGGGGCGCGCTCCCCCGAGCACGCGTGAACCCTGACAGGCGGGTCGGGTCGGGCGGTCAGACCCGAGTGGGCGGGTCGGGTCGGGCAGTTTCGCCGACGGCAGCTGGTTTCGCTGACGGCAGCTGGTTTCGCTGACGGAGCTGGTTTCGCCGACGGCAGCTGGTTTCGCCGACGGCAGCTGGTTTCGCCGACGGCAGCTGGTTTCGCCGACGGCAGCTGGCTTCGCCGACGGCAGCTGGTTTCGCCGACGGCAGCTGGTTTCGCCGACGGCAGCTGGCTTCGCCG